TCTTGATGGTGTCCTTTCACACACAAGTTTTTAATTTTGATGAAGCCCACACATTTCTTTTTATAAATATAGATTTAGTTCCCTTATACAAGTCAAGCCCAAAGAGCACTAAATAAAAAGATCTGCATACAATGCAGAGTAAAAGAACTTGTCTACTTGGTAATAGCCAGGGCTACATTTTCCACCTCTCTTTTCCATGAGAAAAACAGGATGGGCAGGACTATTTATTAATATCACCAACTGCTTACATTCCTGCAGTAAATCATGAAGCTCCACTCACTCCTCTATTAGCATTTTCTGGGACCTGAAAAATGAAAGATAAGTGACATGCATTCACAATTAAACTAACCATTACTGAAATACAGGCTCTACCGAGAGAGATGTATCTTTTCTGTACAGATTCTCAGTAGCTGATGGAGCTTTAATCCCTAAACCCCAGAAATATGATGCTGGACATGCTTAGATAATATGAAGGGTCTTTTTTAGGACTTTGATGCTTTTCCTTAGAGTCCACTGTGCCTTTGGACTGTTCTAGACATTTAGAAAAGATGTTGCATTTCCATTTTATGCACCGCTATTTGAATAGGCACTGAGGATTCCGTCCCCAACTATGGCTCTCTTTATGAAGAAGTACACTCTCATTTTCACAGCTCTGTGACCTTTCATTTGCTATTTATGAGCTTTTGAAAATCTAATACCACTCTGACAGATTTAATTTGTGCTCTAAATTACCTCTGCATGAGTTACTCAACTGCTGGTTTTATTCCAATGGATTACTTGCTACATTCTGAAACAGCAAAAAAAAAATTAGTTCGAGATCTATTAGACTTCCTCCACTTGGGAGAATGTTGCAAAGAGTTGCATTCTTATTTTCACTCCATGGTACTAGATTAGTATAAGGGAGGATTTCTACACTAGTCAGAGAGGCAAGTGATAGGACTACAACCCAGGTCAACTTTTATAAATCCACATCCTAATTGCTATTTCATACAGAGTCCATAAAATAAGATACTCCCAACTCCTTAAACTGGTCACTGGAAGACAGTTAAGCAATTCTGGATGCTACATTGACTAAGGTACCAAGTACTAAATGACAAACAACACCTCACTACTAAATCAATATATAAGCAATTGTGAAGTAGAGAACTAATGCAAAGCTAAATATTTTTCAATGCTATTCATAGTGAAATTTGAAATGCCTAATATGAGAGCAAAATGGAATTCTGAAGCCTAAAAGATCATGATAAATCTTGATTTAATTTTCAATATGTATAGACTAGGTGTGGTGGTGCTTTAATGACCTGAAAAAGTTAATTCAGCTCTCAAAAGTATAAACTAAAGGCATGTCCACACAACTAAATGTACTTAAATATATCATTCTGACCACAGTACCTTTCTCACAATTGGAGAATTGCTCATAATATGTGGTGGTTTTAAAACATGTCTGCAAATTCGTTGACATGTCTCCATTGAGAGGTGGGGTCTACATTCTCTCCTCTTGATTTTGGGCCAAGCTAATTGACCAGCTGACCAGAGTATGGAGGAAATGACACTGTGTGACTTTCAAAGCCAGGTCATAGAAGGTGACTCAACTTACAGCTAGTGCTCTGGAACATTCACGCTGAAGCCATACAAGCAGTCTGAGTGCTCTGAGGGCCATGCTGTGAGGAAGCCCAAATGATCCACACAGAGCTACAGAGACTTCATGAAGAGAGAGAGCTGCCCTGCCAGCCCCTAGCTGCTCCAGCTCCCTTCCCTCCCCTCAGTTCCAGCTCCAGCGAATGTCTGATGGCAACTGCATGGAGACTCCAAGCGAGAACCACCTAGCCAAGACCTTTCCACGTGCCTGACCCACAGAAACCAGGAGAGAGAAATAAAATGACTGTTACTGCTTTATGCCACTCCGTTTTGCGGTGATTTGTTATGCAACAATAAATATCTGGAACATAAGGAACTGGAACATGAGAGTTAACTAGGAATTATAGTTCCACTAATGAAGATAATTCCATTTTTCACATTGGTTGCAAGGTACTGAAATCCAAATCAAACAGCCTTGTAACCAAAACTGAGGGGAAAGGGAGGGGGCAGAATTTTACTGTCTCACCTGACTGTCAAATTTGGACAGGGCTGGACTTTTAACCCCATTATCAGGAATTTCCATCCCTCAACTCTGCTTTGTCCCTTCTCTTGCCTTTATTCTCATTCAGGTTTTCCCAAACAATGGCCACCAGCAGCTTCAGAAGCATTCCCAGGGAGTCCCTTTCCCAACCGTTCCCAAAAAAGCCCTTAAAAAGGAGGGAGGTCCATCCTTGGACCATAATTGTCCAAGGGAATGTGGCATTTCAATTGGCCAGGGCTGGGTCACTAGCATGTCACTGGAACAAGCACAGAGTGTCAATTTCATGGAACTCACATGGTTTGAGAACAGGGAAGGTATTGGTTTCCCAAAGGAAAATCTAGCTGTTGTCACTTGAAAAAGAAAAACTGGATGCTGGGCTAGCAAAATCACACAGATATCCACCACAATAAACAACACTGAGTTTGAAATAACCTCGGTAACCTGGAAGTGTAAACGAAACTAACTTGTAGCTCTCGTAAATATTTCTGCAAATGCCAGAAGGTGGGGAACTTACCTGTTGACATGATTCTCTTCTCTAAAAAGGGAATATACTCCATTACAACTTCACAAATCAAAATATAAGGTTTAAACAATGAAAACATAGTTCCAGTCGGTATTTAGAATCACTTCCGCCCCATACTCCTCCCTTGTTATGGGAATGGATCTCTACTGACGCCCATCATGTGTTACTATTGGGGAACACCATGTTCTTACACATCCATCTTATAGACCACTGTTGTTTGGGCCAAGGTTGGACATCTGATCCAACCAAGCCAACCAGAGTTCTTCCTGGATATTTTTCAAGCCAGAATTGGAAAAAGACAATCAGTCCTCTCTGGTACAGAAGCCACCAAGATGTGAAACTCAGGGAGAGTGTTTGCCATGTCCTTCCCCATGTGAAGGAAGAAGAAGAGAATGAAGCTTGCTGGCTGAGAGAGACAGAGATGAGAGATGGTGAGAAGGGTCTCAGCTACGTGCTACTCTTGCCTTTTTGGCGAATTTTAACTCTTCCCTCAGAAGCCTCAGGCTCCATCTAATAAATACCCCTTTTGCCCAAGCTAGTTTGAGTTGGCTTTCTGTCCCTTGCAACCAAGAGCTCTGACTAATTCAAGAGCCTTCCAAAAGGGTCCAGCCACCAGCTTAAATTTTCCTTTGTAACAAATATGCTTTTTACATTAATACTTCTTTATCAACTAAAAGGTTAGAGTTGGTTTTAAAAATGTCAATAACAGAGAACTAGTCAAAGATTACCTCTTCTAGACTTCGTGGACACAGATGTTTCATGTCCATAACCTACAGAGAGAGAGATGTCCACATATTCCCAATCTGAACTGAGGAGCTGTTTGCATAAAAATCAATGCTTTAAAAAAAATATGTATTTCTTTTTTGAACCCCTTGGCAAGGCGAGAGTTATAGAGAAAATCTGCCTTTCTACCTTGCACCAATCTGATTTAAAGGTCAATTGCATCAAAAATGCTTCAATTCCTGAAGGATAAATGATGTCTAGCTGAGTATGTCTAGCAATATATTCACATTTCTAAAAGATGTTGTATTAACTATTCTGCTTGTTGGCTGTATGCTCGTTTGCTTCCTCTATCAATTGGAAGGTTCCAGAGAACTGATGAGAAGGCATTTTGAAGTGCAAACAGCCGTAAGGGGATGGAGTCAAAGAACTCTCCAGGCAGGAATGGAACACTGGGTACATTTCGGTTACAGCCTGCCATTTTTTATTTACTTGGAAGGGAGTGGTGGTTTGGAGAAATTTTTGCTTTTGTGTCTTTTATTAAACTCTTCTATAGGTTTAAGAATGTCATGTTTTCATTTTATTTTTTCTAGGAATTTTCATCCTAGAGACCTTCCAAAAATGTAGAAGTACAAAATGTACTCAGAAACATTATGATAGTTCTAAGTACATTAAATCGTAAACAGATTTGCTCTTATGTTCAAAATAATCGGGTTCCAAATCCAACATTTAGATTATTAGGCATATGCTTTCTATCTCTTGATCAAAGAAGAGTTACCTTGGTACTATACAAAGGTAATCTTCTCTGTATTTGGAGGGGTGCATTCATCTTCCCTCTGCTAATTTAGAGTGTTTCCAAAATTCAGAAACAAGAGAAAAGTGCTATTAATAATCAATTATACTTTAATCATAAGCAGACACTGCCTGCTGTGAATCCATGGAGATATTCTGCACTTTATGAACCAAGTTTAATCAGCAGGGACCATTGCACATGTTTTGGTCCACTGTTTTGGTTTGAGAGACCTGGTGTGAAGATTCTTTTCGAGGCCTTGAGGCTTATTAATTCTTCCAAGTCACCCCTCCCGGTCGCCTCTGGCCACTGCTATGCTCACTCAGGTTCTTAAGTGCTCTCTCCCCCTCCTGCCTCGCTTCACCACATTTTCTGAAAGCCAGATGTAAATAAATGACCCTGACATCTCTAATTTCTTCATGAAATACTCCTTCCATCGCTTTGCGTGTTGACTGCGGCCCAGCTCACAGTGAAAACGCCACTTCCCTTTGGACTGTCTACAGTGGAAGGTGCTCATTCTCCCAAACCCCATGGATCCTGGGGCCAAGAGGAGGCCAGAATTCCTTTCCCTCCCACTGCAGCTTACAAACCATTGCTCTCCCTCTTCAAACAATTCTCCTCCTCACCTCAAAGGTAACCACCTGCCTTTGTGGCTGTCAGGAAGTGGCTGGAGAATATGAAGAATATGGCCCACCTTTAACTATTAACAATCACTTAACCTAATCTTGATTCTCACCCAGGACTGAGAAGAATCAATCCACATTAAACATTATTTCCTATCTTGCATGGAGTAGAGTTTTGCCCACAGTTCCAAGGATCCTATTCAAGTTTTTGTCAAAAGGCCTTGAAGGTTGTTTCCACTTAGCCATTCATAATGCGAGAGTTCAAGAAAACTCTAATTGGTAGTTTCATAAGGTATGAAGAGCCCTTTCAGAATTTCAGGTTAGAAGAGCCAGCTTGTGCTCTTTCTTCTTGTGGGAAACGTGAAAAAAAAAAAAAAATCAAATAGCCAGTATCAAAACAATTGCCTGTGTAAAAACTCTATGGCTGTATTTTCTCAAATTACTGGGTTGTACTACTACTTAGTAGTAGCTAACTACTAAATCTTAACCAATGTTTCTCATTTAATAAAGAATATATTTTTAAAAACAAATTTATCCATGCACTCTCTTCTAAATTTCTGATCAACCAATACCTTGAGTTATACACAATATGTCTCCCGATAGCTCAAAGACCATCACAGCTGCATTTTTGTGAAAGGCTTTTGGGGTCTGCTAAAACTCACAGTCTAAACTGTAACTTCACTTTTCAAGCACTTGTAACAAATTAGCATAATTATTTTGAGGAAGGAAGGATTTCCTCACCCTGGGTTTGAAGGCAAAGAAATGTATCAGACAACCTCCTAACTCTGCATCATTGAGGTAGGAATTCTTGCTTTGTAATGCACCATCTTCATTTACAAGTCTCCATAAATAATGGTTATTAAAGAAGACTATTATTGTAGCAAAACAGAATATAATAAGATTTTACATAGCATTCATTCAGGCAGAAAAAGAGGTAGGAGTTATTAATAAAAGAAGATTGTCCTTGGTAATAGAAACTTTTTGTTTTCACATCTAAATCAATTCCCTTCTCAGGGAAAGAAAATACTGAGTAGCCTTTTGTGGATAAGAAAATTTCGGTATCTAAACTGACTTCTAACTGCTGACACTGAAGGAGCCTCGTGAGATGCCTCTCTCCTCCTCCTTATTACGCACTTTTCCTATTTCTGTTCCTCAACTGCCCCCCTTGTTTTCTATGTCACTTGTTCACTCATTCATCCATTCATTTATTCATCATTCTCCGTGAGGTAGATACAGATAACGTTATCTGTTACGTTATTGTTAATAGTTCCAGCTTAATACCCAAATTCTTGAACTCTATTAGTAAAACCATAATTCTATCTAATAACATAATTCTTAAAAATCCCCACAAAGGCTGCTAAGTACATTGCAGGCAACGCTGACTTGCCTAGTCTACACGGGAGAGATGATACATCTTTGAGTCATTTAGTCAAGAGCGATCATGGTGTGAGGTTCACCTGCTGTCCTTACAACCAAGGCCACGTATTTGCAAGACGCCAGGTAGAGGAGCCAGGTAACACAATGACTGCACCAATCCTACACAGGCCCTCTGGGGAGGAGATCACAGGGCATGATCAATGAAACCCACTAGAGTCCATATTCCTTCCTATAACCAGGGCAGCTTATCTGGAAGAAGGAAGACAGAGAGAAATGGAGACAGGGATGCCCCATTACATTTTATAAAGATTGAGATAAACGTCTAGGTTCATAAGAATAATTAAATAAGTATACTAGTAATAGGACACTGGAAATAAGAGGGACTAGAGAAAACAAGAGACGTTAAAATTCCAAAGTGTCACAGCCAGAGGTATATTTATCATGAAGTTAGTGAAGGGAAGCCTCAGGGTTGCTGATTGTGTGGGCCCCTGCCAAGGCCCTGTTCCAAATTTTAGGATGGTAATTCATGTACTCTTTTCGTTAAGGAGAGCTCCTCTCTAAAAACCTGGATCAGCCACCCCTGGCCATAGTAATGCAAAAACAATTTTTATTATTAGTGATAATAATGTTGCTTTTTCTTGAGAGAGGTTAGGTTAATAAATAAAAATACATGTTACCATTCTAGTCTCATGGAAAGGAAAAAAAAAAAATGAGGGAAAGTCAGCACACTAACAAAGGCAGGCCTTCTCAAAATCAGCAAAGTGGAATTAGAGCTGGAGAAAACAACCAACCAAGCAAACAACTCCATCCCTCTGGACCCTCCTCCAGCACTGCCTGTGGGCAAATTACTCAGGACCACTCAAAGAATGCCAAGGTGCCCCTAGGGCAATTACGGTCAGGAGAAAGGCCCTAGCTTTACATAACATGTGTTTTTAACTATGTTAAGAAGGGTCAGAGAAACCACTTCATCTTATCACCCAAAAGAGAGGTGAATGCACTGGGACTGGAAAGAGACCACTCTAAGGTGAGCAAGGAGATCACACCCAGCAGGGCTGACCAGGCCCCAGGGAACAGAGCAGAGAGGGCATTAAGTGCCGGCTCCAGAGCCAGGCAGACCCCAGACCCTTTACCTACCATCTCCTAGGATGGTTGTGAGGACAGAGAATGCCTGGAAAGCAGTGTGGTGCAGTTGCTGAGAGCACAGGCTCTGGAGCTAGCCCAGGTTAGGATTCGACTGCTACTGATAGCTGATTAACCTTGAGCAGGTTTCTTAATCTCTCTGTGCCTCAGTTTCCTCATCTGCAAAATGCGGGAAATCACCTAGCACATGCCTGCCAGCTAATATAATTCTCAAAATCAGCCCTGAGTGGCCTAGCAAGGCATCTGTTACTCATTTGGGTCAAGACGCTGGTTCAGAAGCATCTGCTCTCCAGTCCGGAAAAGAGGTGGGAAAGGTCTTCAAGAAGGCACCTCTGGAGCGCCATGTTCTGTTAGGAAAAATAAAAAGCCCAGGTTGCTTGTCAGATTTTCCAGCTGATCCCCAACTAAGATCAGCCTCCCGCAGTGAGGATAAAAACACAAGGCAGGGGGATTAGGTGAAGCAGACTGGGAAAGGTCTAGGGCAGGATTTCTCAAATTTGAAAAGTTCTTTCTCCTTTAGAGAGAAATATTTTCACAGACAGAACCTCTCCTACCCCCACTATCAACTAATTAATCCTAATTATAATAATTATAACACTACTACATATACACAGAAAACTAGGATTAAGTTCCTTGCTTAAAGCCCATGTAACAGCTTTAAAGCCAAAGATTACAAAATATAAATAAAATTACATTCAAATTAAATAAGTCATGTGCTACATAACGATGCTTCAGTCAACCACAGACTGCATAAATGACGGTGGTCCCATTAGATTAGTACTATACAGCCTAGGTGTGCAGTAGGCTATACCATCTTGGTTTGTGTAAGTGTACTCTGTGATGTTCGCATGACGACAAAATCGCCTAATGACACATTTCTAAGAACACATCCCCATCATGAAGAGACGCATGACCATCCATTAATTAAATAAAACGGAAAAAGCAATAATGACTAACACTTATTGAGCACTTACAAAAGGACTGAACCATATGAAATTGCCACTATTCGATCATTATGAATTATAAAAACAGCAATTTCAAATGGTTCAATGCAACATGTGCGAGGCTCTCTCTAAGTACTTTCTTCAATCCCCACAACACTATGAAGTAGGCATTATCATTACCCTATTTTACAGATGAGGATACTGGGGCACCAAGAAATGGAGACACAGTTTTAAATCTCCTACAGAACTGGCAGGTGCCAGCGGACTCATTTGCAGATGCCCCAGGAGCAGCAGACACACTTTGGGAAGCCCTGACATAGGCAGCAGATAGCATCCCAAGGATGGGGTGATGGACGACGAGCCAGAAAAGAGTTTAGGGCAGTCAGCGAGCACTAGAAGGACACCAAGATGGGGACAGTGTCTCCTGCTGGAGGGAAGGGGCGACAAAGACCATCTTGGCTTGGTGTCTTTTGTTTTTGTTCTGGGCCGGACAGAAAGAGGGCTTCACCGGTACTTCCCAGGAAGACAGGCTGGCCCTCCGTGGGGAACAACAGTTCAGGTGAAAACCTGGAGAGAGGAGGAGCAGGGGAAAGGATGATAAAAGGAGAGAAGGTAAGTAAGAGAGCGAAGGGGGTTGTCAAAAAAGGTCCAGGTTTCCCAATTTGCTGCACATTAGAATCATCAGGGATCCTTACAAACTACTGATGCCAGCTCTCACCCATTACGATTTCATTGGTATGGGGTGTGACCTTGGTACTGGGATTTAAAAAACTCTACAGGTGACTCTAATTTGCAACAAAGTTTGGGAAACTTTATGATGCTTCTGCAAGTTGCTGGTGGAAGGAAACAGCCCTGAAATGCATTCTCTTCATCCACAGCCACCAGCAAATTGTGCTGAAAAATTCCCCATAGCACTCAATAAAAGGACTATGAAGCAGTCCAACGCAATCAGTGTAATTTATTCTGCCAAGTCTCCTCTGTCCATCCTTCCTGGGCTCCTCAGAGTACTGGCAAAAGGAAGTGGGCAATGCATGACCTATAAAATGACCATAGCTTCACCTGGTTTCTATGCTGCTCCCACTCCAACCCGACAGCTTCTTTGTAATAACTTCCCAAAAGTGGTTTTCATCCTCTTGATGAAGTGATTGTCCCATGTTGCCCTTGAAATGCTCCAGGGTGAGGTGCACTCTACCTTTCCAACCTAGCACACTTAATTTTTACAACAACAAAAGAGAAAATCTCTTGAGGCCTCTCCTGGGACAAACACACACTAACAACCATTACTCTGAAGGTAGCCAGAAAGATGGGTGAGTTTTTGAGAAAGGAAACAAATAACACCGACATTTTCAGAGGTAGCATGGAGTGACAGGAAGAGAACGGCTTTTGCAGACTGCAGACTTGAGCTTAAACTGCTCTGCTACAAAAACCCACGTGAACTTGAGCAACAAAATTCTCCTGCAATTCAGTCTCCTCATCTGCACAGACACACTGAGATTTCTTCAATTCGTTGGGACCCCACACAATCGTTTCCACCGTGAGTGACTATGACTGCGAGGCTAAGCCTTGATTTTGAAGTGATCTCCATCTCTTTAGAGGTGGCAACGTTTCCATCTTCTCTGACTTTTAGTCACTCGTTCTTATGTTATTCATAGAAGGAAAGCAGGACTGAGGATAAAGTGAAAGGAAAAAAGTACAAGTAACGTAGTCAGGAATAAATAGGAAGGGTAATAATACATTCATCCTGATTTCAATTCATAGAATTAGGATAACATAGTTCCAACATCAAAACCATACAATTTATGCAGTTGCATTGTATCCTGCCAGATATTTTTTCATATGGGTGGCAAAAAAAAAGAAAAACTAAGCATATATTGTAGAAAATTATCCTATAAGAGGCAAAGGAACTGGATCAAAGATTTTAAAAGGATTGGGATTTGATATAGGATGACTGGTTGCTCCAGTGCCTGTTTTCATGCTTATAAATAAGGATCTGAAGTTTCTAGCCAGCCTGTTTATGCACAGGAGTATAGTAAGTAGTGATGATAAACGCTATGTAAATTCTATGTAACAGCAAGGGTCTGAGTCAGCATTGTCCAATAGGACTTTCTGCAATGAGAGAAATGTTCTATATTGTGCTGTCCAATTCAGGAGCCACTAGCCACATGTGGCTACTGAGCAACAGAAATGTGTGACTGAGGAACTGAATTTACTTTAATTGTAATTTAAACTAAATTAGCCACACGTGAAAAATGTCTACAGTATCGGATAGTGGAGTTCTAAATTAATGATAAATAAATGAAAAATAGTCATTTGACGTTGTGACCTCAGAAGCAATTAGGGTTAAGGTGAAGCAAAATGATTATTACCGAGCTAAATACCAAAACATCCATGTTAACTAAATCAAAACAGAAATTATCACACAACTGCTTCTATCAAAGACACTCTTGGCCTGATCATTGGTGCTGGCTGAACGGGGATAAAAAGGAAACGAAAAAGACCTAGCCATCATATTTTCAGGAGTACCACCAAGAACCACTCTACTACCTTTATTTTGTTTTTAGTTGATGGCTGAAAATGTTAGCTTATTATGTGACAAGAATCTTTCTATGTGCTCTACATTTGATTCTGTCAACTATCTTACAAGATAAGTATTTTTTTTTAATCTGTTTTTATAGATGAGTAAACTAAGGAAGAGAAGGGATAAGTCAATTGCTCCAAGGTCACCCGAGTGGCAAGTGTAGGAGTGGACATTTGGATTCAGGCAGTCTGGCTCCATATGCCATGCTCCAAACAGCCATCAGTAATTTAGAAGTTACAGTGAATAAAAGAACTGCCTTTGAGAGGAGGCTGGCTTGCTTAAATGTATCCTGGACATACTAAGACTGTGTCACTTTAAGGGAAAGTCATTTCAACTTTAAGAATTACAAAGGAAGTATGTGAACACTGGACCCTGAAGGAGGAGGGTGAAGAGACAGCAGACATGGACACGAGGCGCTCTGGAAGACTCACTTGGCCAACCAGCCATTTTTCCTAAGCCTTCTCCGAATCTACTGGTTTCCTTTGAAGGCATTAAAGTCAATGGCAAGATTGGAGATGGAGAGGTGAAAAATAGCGGAAGTCTTGAGAGAATTAGAAGAAAGAAGTGTTTCTCTTGAGAGAATTAGAGGAAAGAAGACAGACCAATGAGAGCTGGTCTGTCTTCTATTCTATGTTGAGAGTTGGTCTCTGTCTAACTCAGTTGGCTTTAACTGTAAAATCTTATAAGATCAAAATACATAAATATAAGGGGTTATGTTCCCCTCTTTCAATTCTTCATTATTACCAATTTCAGAGGGTTCCAAATTTTTGAATTCTAAATAATGCTGTGTGTAGCATCCTTGCTACTACATCACATGGTCTATTCCTCATTTTTTTTTTTTTGTTTTTTTTTGAATAAACTCCTAGATATGGGGAAAAAGGAAATGAAAGGACCACGGCTTGCACGGGTTGGAAGATTGCTGAAGGTTTCCCTTCCCTGGAATTGTGTCACAAAGTGATGAGGTAATTATTTCCCAGGATCTTTTGTTTTCTCCTGCTTGCAATCAAGAGGGAAAGAGAAGAATCTCTCTTTGTTCTTTCCTCCTGTAGGATTTGATGAAGCCAAAATATCAAGTCTAGGTAAGATGAGGAAACATCTGAGTTTCACATGACTTAACACAACCCATCTCCACTTATCATGAGACTTGTGAACAAGGTATGTCTTTTCCAATCTTCATTTACACTGCAAGTTCAACATCTCCCACTAACAACTCATGCTCTAAATATGGCAAAAAAAAGAAAAGAAAAACCATCATAAACTCCAAGTTAATTATTGGTTTAGTTGGGAGAATTCATTCTAATAAATATTTACTGTGTCTAATATGTATTGGGTATTGTTCTAGGTTCTGGGGTTATAGAGTAAATAAAACAGATGAAAACAATATTTGATACTCTGGCTCAGTATATTTCTGGTTTATCCCAGCTCAGTATTTTTGGAAGAAAAAATTGATTGAACAAAAATTAATACTGAGGGTCAGTTCAAGATTCAGCTGATTAAATGTAGCTCATTAACATTTTTGGCTCAGCACAGTTCAAGTTTCTTTCAGTGGTATAGTCCTTGGGGGCTCTTTACTCTAAAATGCAACAACAAAAATGTAACACATGAAAATCTTTTTTGGTTACTCAGCAGATCCCCAAACCCCAGAATTGTTCTAAACATTTTTTTCCTCCCGACATGAGATTTCCCCCAGTTTTACTGATGCTACTTCCTAATACTTTTCATAAATGCATTGTTGTCATCAGGCCTATGGCCAGAACTTCAGTCCAGGTCCTTAATTTTTGCTTGGACTATTACAATAGCTTCAAAACTGGTCTGCCTTCCTCCAGTTTCTTTTCCTTCCAATTTTTCTGTCTTACAGTTTTCAAAAACAGAGATCTGATCATATAGCTCTACAGTTAGAAAGTGTGAGTGGTTCCCACTGCTTGCGGGATATAGTTTACATTCTTTACTGGTATGTACAAGGCATTATAGAGTTACGGCAAGCCCCAGTGGGAGAATGAGAAAATCAGGCACTGGGATTCCAGATCAAGGCCATGTCATCTGCAGTAGAGAAGTATAACACTTTTGAGAAACAGCCCCTGGCATTTTACTGAGTCCTACTAAAGACAGAATGCTTGCTCATGTGATAATAAGTCATCATGCATCCAGAACTGCCCATTATGAGGTGGGTTCTATTGTACCTACTCATTCATATAGGCATTCATACCCAGAAGAGCCACAGTCAGCACTGTTACCTGGGGGCTTACGGAATGTCTGATCCACAGGCATGGAATCCTGTACAGTACAGTATCTGATCAGGACCCACTTCACAGAAAGGAGGTGCAGCACTGGGCCCAAGACCACAGGATCCACTGTTGTATCACATACTGCACCACTCGGAACCAGTC